TTTTCTGTTATAGTTTATACCTGAGGATTGGCGACACAGTGTGTTGGTGCCGTTGTATAAGGGCAAAGGAGATGTGAGAGATTGTGGGTCATATAGGGGTGTGAAATTACTAGAGCACGGAATGAAGGTAGTGGAGAGGGTGCTTGAGAGGAGGTTGAGAAGTATGGTGACAGTTAATGAAATGCAGTGTGGGTTAGGGTTAGTAGGGGAACGGTGGATGCGTTGTTCATGGTGAGAATGTTGCAGGAGAATTATAGAAAAAAGAAACGAAGATGTTTTGTGGATCTAGAAAAGGCTTTTGATCGAGTACCGAGGAAGGTCATTGAATGGGCGTTAAGGAAGAAAGGAGTGAATGAGAGACTTGTTAAAGCTGTGATGCAGCTGTATGAAGGGGCAAAGACAAAGGTGAGGGTTGGAAGGGGGATGTCGGACGCTTTTAGTGTTAATGTAGGAGTGCATCAAGGATCAGTGTTATCACCGTTTCTGTTTGCAATTGTGATGGATGTTGTGTGTGGAAACATAATGGAGGGGTTGTTATTTGAGATTTTGTATGCAGATGATTTAGTCTTGATGGCTGATAGCATAGAAGAATTGCAGTTAAAATTTGACAGATGGAAAAGTGTTATTGAAAAGAAAGGGTTAAAAGTTAATATTGGTAAGACGAAAGTAATGGTGAGTGGGGAAGGTGGGGAGCGAGTGATAAGTAAAATAGACCCCTGTGGGGTATGTGACAGGAGAGTGAAGGCTAACTCGGTGTTGTGTATAGGATGTCAGAAATGGGTGCATAAGAGATGTAGTGGTTTGAGGGGGGCACTGAAAAAGGTGGAAGGCACGTTCAAATGTAAGAAATGTGTTCATGGTGTGATTAATAGGACGGACGCAAGGACGGGGTTGGGTGGTGGTATTGAAAGAGTGGAAAGCTTTGTTTACTTAAGGGATAAGCTGAATGCGGATGGAGTTGGGTGGTGGTTTTGAAAGAGTGGAAAGCTTTGTTTACTTAGGGGATAAGCTGAATGCGGATGGAGGATGTTTGAGCGCAGTTACGGCTAGAGTTCGTGTGGGATGGATGAAATTTAGGGAACTGGGTGGGGAAAGAAATGGTCAGTGAAGATGAAAGGGAGGGTATATAAAGCATGTGTGAGAGCAGCGATGGTATATGGTGGTGAAACTTGGGTGTTGAGGAGAGAGGAGGAAAGTGTACTGCAGAGGGCTGAAAGAGCTATGGTGAGGATGATGTGTGGGGTTAAAGTGAAGGATAGGAGGAGTAGTACAGAGCTGATGTCAATGATGGGACTGAATGAGGACATTGTGACATTGATAAGGAGATCGAGATTGCGGTGGTATGGACATGTGTTGAGAAGGGATGAAAGGGTCGGGATTAGGCGAGCGTTGGAGTTCGAGGTTGAAGGAGTGGTAGGAAGGGGTCGTCCGCGATTGGGATGGAGAGAGCAGGTGGAGAAGGACAGGGTGAAAGCGGGGTTGCGTGATACTGAGGCGAGTGACAGATGTGGATGGCGTCGAGGGGTATTTCGGTTTCATCATAGGTAGTCAAACGGCAACCCCCGATCTCGGGGAAAATGCCGTCTAAACGTGTGTTGTTGTATAGTTTATTTATTATTTTGTTATTCTTTAAAGTTATAATTGATCAATTGTTTACTTTAAGGGATGATGGCAGATGTGATTATTTATATGGGGATGGAGATAATTTTTTGTGATAGTTAAGTTGATGATGTTTCATAATGTTTCAGAGTGTTTGTGTGGAAAAGCGGAAGGAGATGTTGATTATGAGTGTTCATTCATTCATTCAGTCGTTCTTTCTTTCCTTTCTTCATTCATTCATTCATTCATTCATTCATTCATTCATTCATTCATTCATTCATTCGATTGTTTGTTTGCCTAATTATTCATATGTGTGTTCATCAATCTTTTATTGATGACAAATACATAAGTACTATTTGTCATTTAATTGTTCATTTGTTTGTTGGTTCATTCTATATTCATTCTTTCATTCATTCATTCATTCATTCATTCATTCATTCATTTATTTGTTTGTTCATTCGTTCATTTTTCGTTCGTTCGTTCACTTTTTCATTCACTCACTCATCATCTTTGCCGTGTTTAATGATTCCTGTAATTTTGACGATTCATGTTAATTGTATATAGAAATATGTATGATATACAATATGTATGCACGGGTTTAAATATATACGAACGTATATAAAGTGAATGAATGAATGAATGAACGAATGAATGACAAATGAATGAATGATAGAATGATTGACAAATGAATGAATGAATGAATGAATGGACGAACGAATGAATGGATGGACGAACGAATGAATGAATGATGAAAGAAATGAGTGAAAAATGTTATAAAAGTTTCTTTATTTTTACAATTCCACCACATATCCAGTGGCTACCAGCAAGAGTAATAACGAAAAGAGCGGTCCCCTGGCATATCTCGTTAGTAAAAGTTATTTTATTCCTTTATTTGTTTATTTATTCGTTCTCTTTATCAATCATTAAATCAATCATTCAATAAATAAATGATCAACCAATCAACTAATCAATAGTTCATTCATTTATTCATTGTAGTTTTTAATTTGGTCATACAGTTCATTTGTGATTTTATATCTGTCTGCCAATTGCCTAGCTTTATAACATTTCTTTTTTTTCTTCCTGATTGGGTAAGTGGTCCGTTGTGGCCCTCTGGTCAGTGGTGATAAACAAATAAATAAATATTTATATTTTTTAAACGATTGAGCTTTCTTTTTTCTTAGTTTATTTATTAGTACTTATTCAAATTTTGGCCATTCACTCTCCATTCATTCATTCATTCATTCATTCATTCATTCATTCATTCATTCATTCATTCATTCATTCATTCATTCATTCATTCATTCATTCATTCATTCATTCTATTATTTGGTTCTTTCATTCATTTAATTTTTTTGCACTTTGTGCTTCTACCATATAAATTAGGTGACATTGCCAGATGTTTGTATATATGCGTGTGTGTATGTATGTGTGTTTGTTTGTTTGTGTGTGTTCGTTGTTACTTATAAATGTTTGTTTTATTTGTTGCTTATTTTTAAAATCAGCTGTGTTGTTTTATTGCCTTAAATAAAATAGATTTATATCCATTATAAAATGTTTGAGTTAAATTGTCTTTCATGTTTCATAGGAGGGTATGTATGTGTGTATGCGCTTGTTTGTGTGTGTGTGTGTTTGTGTGTGTGTATGCTTGTGCGTATGTGTGAATGTGCATGTATGTACAGTATTTTGTACTTAGTAAATGTTTGCAATGATGTAATAAGAATAATTTGGCATTAAATGACTCCACTTCTTTCCATCCATCCTTATTCTTTGTGTGCATCTTTGTTTGTATGCATGTAAGTAGTTGTGTATGTGTGTATGCATCTGTGTGCCTGTGTATGTGTGTTGTGTGTGTGTGTGTGTGTGTGGTTTGTATATATCTCTCTGTGTGTGTGTGTGTGTGCGCGCGGTGTGTGTGTGTGTGTATAAGTGAGAGAGAAAGAGAGAGAGAGAGAGAGAGAGAACGAAATTGTGATTGTTAACTGATGAAATATATTAACAGAATTCAGGCCACTGCAACCTGGTGACAAACCTATATGTTTGTTTGTTTGTGTGAGTCTGTCTGTATCTATTTTCGTTTATGTGTGTGTGTGTGTGTATGTGAGTGTGTTGTATGTGTGTATGTGCATGTGTGTATGTATACAACTGTCTTGATGATTTATTATTATAAGTATTTGAGGTATCCAGTTTGAAAATATTATATTATCATACAAACACACAACTGAAATTTTTCTTTTATTCAAACTTTCAAGTTTGACAAGAGTTAAGTTTTTAAAAAGAGTAATATTTATATTCACAAATGAATCAAATGATGTATATATTATGTATATATATATATATATGTTGTATATATATATATATGTTGTAGTCATAAATCATTTATATTATACTATAATACATTGTATGGTCGTGTGTGTGTGTGTGTGTGTGTGTGTGTGTGTGTGTGTGTGTGTGTGTGTGTGTGTGTGTGTGTGTGTGTTGTGTATCTATGTATGCATCCAAGGAGAATACAGTCTTCAAAAAATTTTACAGATTTTTTTGTAAAACTTTAAGTGGAACACAATGAATCTTTAAAGAAATTTAGTTGGAAACATCTGAAAGACAAGTTATAAATAAATTAATTAAAGCCCAAAACTACTAGTGCATAGGTGTCTATTCCTACTCTTTATATATTTTTTAGTATATGTATTTCATTGTATGTATGTGCTTAGGTGTATGTTTACGTATGTGTATATAATTGTTTTGTATGTGTTTATATAGTTGTGTGTATGTGGTGTGTGTACGTATCTATTGCCTATAGCAATAGTGACACTCATTTTCATAAGTTTTGCCGGCAATACTAATACTGTGTTTCAAAAGTATCAAGAATTATCATGGATATCCTTCTTGATACTTGGCTCTAGAGGTTTTCCAGATACCAAAGCCAGATACTTTAATATTAACAGCCCTGCATATGGCTTATCTTTTTGTATATTTTCGGTTTTTATTCATTATATTATGATCTCACTTCATGTTACTTACACACAATTTCATCAATTTATCAATTTTTTTTGTCTTTAACGAACTCGCAGGCTCCACTACAACAACATCAACAGCAGTTGCAGCAACAACAAAATCAGCAGCAGCTGTTGCAGCAGCAGCAACGCGAGCAGTTACGATTACAGCAACAACAGCTGTTGCAGCAACAACACCGACTGCAACTTCAACAAGCTATGCAAAAGTCGCCTGCTACTATTAATAGCAACAACAACAACAATAATATCATTAATAATATCAACAGTAGCAATCTAAATAGCATCAACAATAACAACAACAACACTCGCTTAGTTACTAATGGTAACATCCTAAACATCAACAACAACAACAACAGTATTATTAACAATTGCATCAGTAACAATAATAATATCATTAAAATTATTGACAACAACAAAATCATCACTGCTACTACCTTAAACAACGCTAATGTTAGCCAGAGCAAAATCAACAACGGTTTCATTGCTAACAACAACAACAACAACATCAGTAACAATAACTTTAGTACCATCATCACACATAATAACATTATCGCCAAAAATAACACCAGCAACATCACAAATAACGTCAACACCATCATCACAACTAACAACAACATCAACAACAACAACATCATCATCGCAAATAGCATCAGCAACAACAACACAAAAGGCATTTTGAATGGCGTTGTCTTAAATTCGGGTTTGCCAACTGTGCTGAACTTGGCCAATCTATGTAAAAAAATTTGTTGCTGTCTATTTGTTAATATTCATAGTTTGTGTTTGTTTGCTTGTTGTTTGTTTGTATGTTGTTGTTTGTTAGTTTGTTGGTTTGTATGTTTGTTGTGTTGCATGAAATGACAACGATGCTGATGAAAGCGGTTATGTTGTTGTTGGTGGTGCTGACATTGATGTTATTTGTTACAATTTTTTCAAAATCAGCTCAGCCCGTTCAGCTACTACAAAATAGTCGGTTGCTGCAGCTACAACAGCAGCTACAACAACAACAGCAACTGCTGCAACAACATCAACTGCAGCAACAAAAACAACAAACGACGATTCCGTTACAAGTTAATTTTGCATCTACAACAAATCTTCTTCCCAGAGCCACATTATTGCAACTGCAGCCACAGCAACAACAGTCGCAACAACAGCTACTACAACAACCACGGCAGCAACTACAGCTACTACAGCAACCGCAACCACAGTTACTACAACAACCGCAGCTGCTACAACAGTCGCAGCTGCTACGACAGCCACAACAACAGTTACTACAACAACCGCAACAACAGTTGCTGTTGAATAACTCTCTTTTGGTTGCCACTACACCTACTACTCTTGCTGCCAAAGCTTCTACTAATAATAGCTTACCTCAAAAAGTAGTTGTTGTGTGATTGTATTGTTGTGTAGTGTTGTTATTTAAGGTAAAGTTTTAGAGTTGTTGTGGGCTGTTGCTTTTATTTTGCTTTTAAATTGTTCATACATGTTTTTTCATGTTGTTGTTCTTTGTGATTCTACACTGCACACCTTTATTCGTTTTTATCATTGTTTGTATTATCATTCTGATCATTAATTTCATAATTCTCATCATCAGCATCGTCACATCGTCACCACCGTTGTCTTCATCACCGCCATCATCACGCCATCCTTTTTGCAGCTAACGATTTTCTCCCCCCTGGCACAACTGGATGGCACGGCCGCCAGAAGTTCCGAAGACGACGACGATGACGACGACGATGTCGTTGATGACGACGACGACGACTTGGCCGCTGATGATGACGATGATGAGGAGAGCACCAGAACTGAGGTTGTTGCTTGTTCCTTGTGTTGCCCATGTTGTTGTTGATGATGGTGATGATGATAAGGATGATGATGGTGATGATGATAAGGATGATGATGGTGGTGATGGTGATCAATTGTTATCATGTGATTTCTGTTTGTTATCGTCGTCCTACTTTTATCGTCTTCATCATCATCAACGGTTCAATTTTTGACGCCATCATCATCACCATCATCATCACCACCACCATCATTATCACCACCACCACCATCGTCATCATCATCATCAGCACCTTTTCCATCATAACCATCGTCATCCTCCTCATCTTCTTCATCACCATCATGGTAGGAGCCACTGAATTCGGATGATGATCAGAGCATAATTGACACAAACGAACCCTTTGACGTTGACAACGTCATCGTCTGCCAATACGAGAAAGTTCGTCGTCGTCGTCGTCGTTGTTGTTGTTGTTGCTGTTGATTTTATTTAATGTCGTTGTTGATGTCTGTTCGGCTGCTGATGTTTTTGGTGCTGTTTTTCAATTTCTGGTATTTTATGCACTGCCACAGTTTATCTTTGCTTTTTAGAATTGGTAAATTCTACAACAAAAACACACACACAAACAAACAAACACTACACAAACAAACAAACACTACACAAACAAACAAACACTACACAAACAACAAACACACACTACACAAACAAACACACACACACCACACAAACAACAATCAAACAAACAACTCCAGATACACAGAGTAAAGAACAGATGGAAGCTGATATTGAAATCAGGGATAATGAACATAGACGGGAAAGACAAACTTTTCAACAGGGCGGCCGGCGATGCTGAGTGGTAACCATGGCAACCTTCGTTATTTCACCATGGCAACAGTGCTAGGGATTTAATTTCAACTCTCCTCGCTATTTTTAGTCTCGCCTTTTAGAAGGGTTTCAGATTATGGGCGGCGTTTGGTTAAATGGGTAAATTTTATTGATTGCTAGGTGAATTTGATTCGTTGAATTTGATTGGTTATCAGAGGAGTTTGATTGGTTGAGTTTGATTGGTTACCAGAGGTATTTGATTGGTTGAATTTGATTGGTTACCAGAGGAATTTGATCGGTTGCTAGGTGAATTTTGAAAATTTGATTTGCTACTGGTAGGAAAGTTTGACTGGCTGCTAGGAAAATTTGGTTGGTTGGTTGTTTGCTAGGGAAATTTATTTGGTTGATTGGTTGTCTGGTTGATTGGTTGCTAGGAGATTTTGATTGGTTGGAAAATATTGCTAATTGCGTGGTTTTTATATTAAAATTTTAATTTATTTGTTTTGGATGGGAAAAAAATTCCTCGAAGTTTTATAAACTTTTATCTTTATATTATCCGTTACGGAATGATTCTGGTTTGGTTGATTTTGACGGATGATTAAGATGTGATTATGAAGCGATGTGGTACGGAAATGGTTAAAGTGCGGCGACAAAATGACAGAGTTGAGATGATGGATGCTTTTTATACTTACCAAACAAACAAATGTGATAGTAGACTAAGTAGTAATAATTGCATTTACATTTGCTTGAGTAACTTAATGTATTTGTGGTATTTGTTATGATATTATTTAGTACAGATGATGATGATGGTGATAATGTGATGGTGAAAATGATGGTGCTGTTCATAACATGTTGATGAAGACGAAGATGATGATGGTGATAATGTGATGGTGAAAATGATGGTGCTGTTCATAACATGATGATGACGATGATGACAATGACTCAGCTGTGATTATTGTAGGAAAAATTTTATTTTATTTATTGACGGTAATCATCTCATTATGATGGTGTTGATGACGATGGAGTAGAGGAGTGAAGTGATAATGATGTGATTAAATGGATTGTAATGTAATAAATGATGATTGAATGGTTTTGTTTTCCTGCGGTTGTGATGGTTGTGGTGGTGAATGTGGTGATGGTGATTGAAATGGTGTGATGGTGATTGAGATGTTGAAAATAATAATGATAACGATGATGATTTTTATGAATGGTGATTAAAAATATGATATTGGTGGCGATGATATGATGACAAATGCCGAAATGTGTTAGTACGAGATGTCATTCTTTTCTTAAATTGTTACCTGGCAATACTAAAAAAATTTATTTTGTTTTTATTATCTGTTGATGTATCAACATCAGATTGATTGATCTTGTTTATCCATGTGTGTGCGTGTGTATGTGTGGTTTGTGTGTGTGTGTGTGTACTTAATTGTAATAACGGTAATATTATTTTCTGTCTGTCAATTTTGTTTGTTCTATCATTCATATCAATATAAAGTCTCTCTTATTTTTTCTCTCCAACTTTTCTCTCTCTCTCTCTTTCTCTCTCTCTCTCTCTCTTTCTATATATATATATATATATATATATATATATATATATATATATATATATATATATATATATATATATATATATATATTTAAGAATGATTTTTTTCAGTTTTCACCAGAAAAGAATGAATGAAAAATTTGAAAATGAATAAAGAGTATTATTTATTCATCTATTGTTTGTTTAAATTTTTTTAAAAGATTAAAAAGATCTTTCTTTAAAATGCTGGAGCAAAACGCCGTCAAATTGAATTATCCCAACCAAACTTTGGATATTTACTCTGATGCTTGGCCGCAGATACTTGGTATGAATTATCATCGATACCAGATGTTGATACCATGGTTACTACAGACTCACTCATTAGGATATTTTTTAAAATAGACACGTTTCCGAACCTTAATATTAATTTTATTAAATGATAGAAGTATCACGAGAAGATATCGGTGAAATTATTGATACAGTTATGTATTAGTTATTATATAGTTATTACAAAAGATATACGAGGCGATAGTTAAACACAAAGTTCAAAAAATTTGTTCCAATTGACTAAAGATATTGTTTCTGGCGGCAAACTAACAATTATAACGAGGCCATGACAAAACTGAAAACTCCGTCACCAAAAACAAACCAATGTAAGCAATTTCGTTGGAAATTTAAAAAAATGGCACATTCTCAATTGGAGAAAGTTTTAAAATGGTGGCAATTCAAAATTCAACTCATCCCATCTTGATTTTTACAAGATTGGTCAGATTTATTTAAGTTTGAATGGCAAGCTGGATGATTTATCAACCAATGTTCTTAACAAATTCGTCATGAAGGTTGATGAAGATCAGTGTCCGTCCGTTAAACAAGCTCTAGAAGGTTTTGAAGGGTCAATAAGTACATTTAAATTCAATTTGAATCAAATTGTTGAAAAAAAACTGCGGTGATTTTGTCAACAAGTTTATTAATTCAATAAAAGTGTTGAAGAACTCTGGCTTAAACGTGAAAACTTACATACAAAGATATACAAACACATGCAAACATATACAACAAAATACAAACATGCACTCCCTCATCACACAAGCACGCAATCTAATATGTATGTAACGCGCGATTAGTTATTATTTTAAAATTTTTAGTTTCATACTAGATAAGTTTTAATAATTTGTTCATTCGTTCGTTCTCTCAATTGTTAGCTCACTCAATCGTTCATCCATCCATCCATCCATCCATCCATCCATCCATCCATCAGCAGACATCTGCCACCGTACCCTATCTTTATCCGTCATAAAGGGCTGGCTTTGACTTGGTTGAGCCCGGCTGAATTAAAAAAAATGGATCTATATAAATTTGGTTGATTGATTGTATGTTCAAAACGTCTTATTTCCTGTTTTATTGAAGATAAGCTGTTTGTGTAATTTTATGTATGCGTGTGTATGTCTTTAGCTTGTATGTATGTATTGTATATATGTGTATTTTTAATCACGTATGTGTTTATGTTTGTGTGTGCTTGTTTGGCTATAAGTAATTCCAGTTAATTGTTTGTGATGGGAAAAGTTACATTTTATCTGTACAGCATGCTATGTTTATAATATAGCAATATATGTATTAAATATATATATATATATATATATATATATATATATATACATATATACATATATATATAGGTATGTCTAAATACGTGTGTAAGTATGTGTGTATGTATTTGCATATGCGTGTGCCTGTATATATGCTTGTGCGTATGTGTCTAAAAAATCAATACCATTAATCAATACAAAATAGTTAAGACAAGCAAATATATGTATATATATAGATATATTATATATATAGCTTTATTTTTATTTAAGTGTATATATATATATATATATATATTTATATTAATTAATATATATAAAATAAAATGTATGCCAGTAACAAGCTCGATAAACTCGGGCTATAGTTAAATATTTGCTTTTTAGAATTCAACAAATTAAATATATCATATTACTCAATTAATTAGCTAATTAATTTGTTAATTGAATGGTAATTATTTTAAACTTAAATTAAATTTTAATTTTTTTTTCCTAAAAAAAAAACAATTTCGGCACCAAAGTAATTTTGTTCCTGGAATTTTTTTTGTAATTATGATTTTATGTTTATAATGTTGACAAAATGAACGTTAGATTTTATTTTATTTTACCTTGAATATTAAAAATAAATTAGTTTGTGTTTTTTATTTATAAATTTAAATATATCTAAATGTTTTCATGGTTAATTTGCTACTTTTTTGATCAAAATGTCGTTCTTTCAAAGATCATTTTTGAAATTCTTGAAGGAGTTGAAATTTGTGCGTGTGTGTGTGTGTGTGCGCTTTAATTTTCTTGGTGGATTATTTTAGTAAATTAATTATTTATTTATTTATTCATAATTATTTTTCATTTTAAAATTACAACTGAATAAGTTCCAAATTACAAATTAAATTACAAATTAAATTAAACTACAAATATTTTAAAATCTATCTATATTATATAATTTATAAATAAATAAAAAAAAATTAATGGTCTATTATTAATTATATTTTTATCTATAGTACTGGAAAATAAATTGATCATTGTCCTTTAATTTTATTATATTATAATAATTATATTATTATAAGTTATATAAAAATGTCTTCTATACTAAGTGTAAATCTTTAGCCTAGTTACTTAAGTACTTTTACTCTCTACTACTTAAGTAAAATAACTATACAAACTAAATTAATTAATTAAATTGATGTGACATCCATTTATTCAAAAATTTCAGTTGATTTTTTTTATTTATTTTTATTCATTCTTTAACTTCTATTCTTTACCTTTGATTTATTTTATTTTCACTCCACATTCTATTTCACTTTTTTTTCTACCGATCAATTTGTCTTGAATATTTTTAATTCAATGTGTTTATAGATATTTATGTTTTATGTATTTTTTATGTTGTCTTATTATGTCTCATTCTAGCTTGATAAGAACCAGCCTAGGCAAATTTAATTTTCTCAAACACCATCCCGTGAAAATTACCATGTTTTTAGTATAGTTAGGAAAGGGTTCATATGCATATATATGTTATATGTGCATATATAATTCTATATTATAAATGACTATATATATATATATATAATATAATTAAAATTGTTTAAATTATCATCGTATATCATTAATTGTTAATAATTTGATAATGGAATTGATTGATAAGTTGACGAATGTTATTAAATTTTTTGTTGGATGCATTTTTACTGGCTCACCATCGCGAGCTTATTTGAGTAAAATAATTCTTAAAAGTAATAACCATTCATTTGTTGTGATAAAGTGAATGTTTGGTCTTTCTTTAGTAGTTTAAAAAATTAATTTCCCATGCATTCTCTCTCTTTTGTTCTGTCTCTCTCTCTCCCTCTCTCTCTCTCACTCTTGCTTCCTTCTGCTGGTTTTATCTTTTTTTTGTATTTTTCTCTCTGTCTGGCTGCCTGCTACAGTTTTTTTTGTCTCTGCTTCCCAATTTATTTGTTCTTTCTCTCTCCTATATTCCTTTTCATACTACACACACTCTTCTCTCTCTCTCGTTCTCTCTCTATTTCTCGTTCTCTCTCTCAATTTCTCGTTCTCTCTCTCAATTTCTCGTTCTCTCTCTCTCTCTTTCTCTCTCTCTTTAATATTCTTACACTTTGCTGCTTAGTTAGTCTACCTCACATCACACTCATGATCAATACCTACTTAACTGATATATGCATTTTGTTTATGATAGTTCAAAGATTACTACTGAAAATTACTAAGCTGCTATTATTATTATTATCATTATTATTGTTTATTATTATTATTGTTTATTATTATTGTTTATTATTATTATTATTATTATCATTGTTTATTATTATTATGGTTGTCTGTTGTTGTTTACTGTTGCAATTTTTTTGAATTTTGTTTCAAACAGGGGTACAGAAAAATGAATCTCCTATCTACATCTGCAGAATGATTAAGTTGTAATCATTTCATCATCATTCATCATCGTCGTCGTCGTCTTCGTCCGAATAGAATATCATCATCATCATAGTTGTGGATAAAGTATCATCATCATCATCATCATCGTCATAGTTGTGGATAAAGTATCGTCATCATCATCATCATCTTTAGAAAAAGAATGTCTTCATCATTATCAAGATAACCTCATCGTCATTATCATCAAGCAAGTCATCTCCTTCATTGACAGTGTTCATTGGCTACTATTTTTTTGCTTTTTTTTTGCTACTCCAACTGTACTATTATCACCACCATAAATTTACACATTATCACCACCTGGATGACATCACTATCATCATCTTTCACATCATTGTCAGGATAGCCCCCATCGTCATCATCGCCGTAGTTGGTCATTGCCGCCATATATATATGGGCTACCTTCGTCAGTCATTCCTGTGATCATTTTTGCACAATTCTTTTGCTAATTATCATTTTTATATCTTATCACCACCATCATCATCAGCCATCATTATCATTAGTTATCATTATCATTAGGGATCATTATCATTAGGGATCATTATCATTAGTTATACA